GCGGCATGGGAGTGATGAAATGGGCAGGGCTGCTACCGTTGTAATAGTAACAATAAGTGATGCTACAACAACTACTACTACTACTACTACTACTACTACTACTACTACGAGCTACAATAATAATTATACGTGAGAACTGGTTGCAAACATACTGACAACCATGATCATGGTGATACTGTTAATACAAATCATAACACCACCAACGATATCAACAATACTAGCAAATGACGATGTCAATCAAAAAAAAAAAACTGGTAATACCACTAGTAATACTTATGATATCAAGTCTTAAAACATGATGATATTACTACTACTACTACTAGTAGTAGTAGTAGTAGTAGTAGTAGTAGTAGTAGTAGTAGTAGTAGTATCAGTAGTAGTGATAGTAATAACGCTGCTGATGATACAAATACTACTACGAAGTGATGGTACTGAAAACCAGCATAGTGATACTAATGATACTCTTACTAATGAAACGGCTACTACGAATAATAAAATGATAACTCTAATACGAACAATAAAGTAGTAGTAATACTAAGGATAAAAAAATACTAGTACGAATGCTAGAAATGGTACATATAGTAATCACACGAATGCCAATACTGATAATAATACCAATAAAAACGATGATGCTAATACCACTGATAATAATACCTATACGACCACCCTACGGGTGATAAGGAGGTTGGGGTGGTGGAGGGGCCGAGCAATGGGCAACAGTGGCGATTGTTCTCCTGACGATGCCAGTGGATATTTTTGTTATCGGAGGCCTGCTGAAGCCCCTCTTGTCGCCACTGACTACATCGCTTCAAGATATTGCTCAACGGCTGCTCTTCGGCGGTCGAGACCGATGCACCACCATCATAGCTCTTTTTCCCTTGCTCAAACAGCGCAAACGGCTGGAAGCCCAGCGAAAGCGTGCCTCATGCAGTCAGAGAATACCGAAGCGCTGGCAAAGCCTGGCATACATCGTGTCCCCCTAATAACACTACAGCAAAGCCCGTGCGCTGGGAAAGCCCGTGCGCTGGCAAAGCCCGTGCACTGCGGCAAAGCCCGCGCCCCCTAATAGCACTGCAGCAAAGCCCCTGCCCTCTGGCAAAGCCCCTGCGCTGGCAAAGCCTGGCGCAGCCCGTGCCCGCTGGAACAGCTGCGTGAGCACTAATAACAGGGCCTTCTCTACGTCCTTCAGGGGCCTTCTCTACATCCTACAGGGGCCTTCTCTACGTCCTTCAGGGGCCTTCTCTACGCCCTTCAGGGGCCTCGGTGCGGCGCGACATTGCACCGTGGATCGGCCCCGGAAGCGGCGCAACACTGTGCGTGGTGGAGGAGAACCTGGGAGAAGACCTCATTCGCTGTCTCATTCGGTCTCACTACCGATCTCGCAATCGATATCACTATCGACGTCATCATCATCATCATCATCAACAACAACATCAACATCATCATCATCATCGCCATCATCAACATCATCTCATCATCATCATTACCATCATCATCATCATTACCATCATCATCATAATCATCATCAACATCATCATCGGGGCACCGACGGGACACGGACGGGGCACCGGCGGGACACCGGCGGGACACCGCGCGCCACCGGCCGCCCGGCGGAGAATCATTTGGTCCGGCCGCGCCTCAGCCACAGGAGACTTTGCTCTCGCCCGCCCACGCAGCTTCGCCTCGCCCGCGCGGCACGCACGAACACGAAACCGAAATCGATTTCCCGGTAGGGGGGCTCTCCGTTCCACTTCGATCTCACCCCCCAACCTCCGACCAATATTAATAATAACAATACCAACAATAATAAAACTAATAATAATAATAATGCTACTGATGTTGATACTAATCACAATAATAATAATAATTCTAATAATAATAACTATAATAGATAAATAAATAAAACAAGTAATAATAATTCGAATACTAATAATAATAATATTAATGCTAATAATACTAATAATACTATTAATACTAATAATACTAATAATACTACTAATAACAATAATACTAATAATAATACTAATTATTATTATTCTTCAGGGTCCCAAAGACCGCTAACCAGCAAGAATATCCGACGCAGCAGCGGGAGACGAAGCCGAACGCAGACAGCGCGCAGGCGGAGCGGCTCCTCGAGCCGCAAAAGTTTCTCTCCAGAGCAAACGTCGAGCAGTGCTGAGAGGGGTGCTGGCCAGCACCAGGCAGGCAGTGCAAGACAATTCTCAAAAAGGAAATCGGCTAGCCGAAACTCGCAGGCCTTTTTCTCACGGCCAAGAGAATGGGCGGTGGCGGGGAAGCAGGATGGCAGAACTTGAGCCATCACAGTTGCAGTGACAGCAACACTGATGCAGACCGGTATGCTACGCAGGGACTGGGAGAAACCACATCTACAGATTACTATTCTCCAGGGCCCCAAAGACCGCTAACCAGCAATAATATCCGACGCAGCAGCGGGAGACGAAGCCAAACGCAGACAGCGCGCAGGCGGAGCGGCTCCTCGAGCCGCAAAAGTTACTCTCCAGAGCAAATGTCGAGCAGTGCTGAGAGGGGTGCTGGCCAGCACCAGGCAGGCAGTGTAAGACAATTCTCAAAAAGGAAATCGGCTAGCCGAAACTCGCAGGCCTTTTTCTCACGGCCAAACCTCCCGAACTCCTCGGGGCTGGTCTTCGGGCCGTCTTCTCACGAAGCGAGTGCAAAAGCCTGGCAGGTAAAGAGCTGGCGGCGCGCTTCGCGCTTCGAATCTGAGTAGGCTCACACTTTTCAAATTGCTTCAGAAGCTGGGCGTGCTTTTCATATCTTGTGACACTTTTGAAACTCACCCAGCGGCCTCTTTTCTGAATCGACGGAAGGTCAGCTCTCTTCTCGAACCTATCGTTGGACGGGCCAGAGTGGCGCAACCAATGCGGAGATCCGCCCACGGCCTGGAGCTTCAACCTCACCAAGGAGGCCTTGAACTCTCTCTCGTAGGTGGCAAGATCGAAATCGAACGCGCGCTCTCCAGCCTGGACTGAGGTCTTTGAGCGCGGCCACAACGTCTCGGACCCACTCACGGCCGCACACTCCGACATCAACGGTGTCATCCGTCTGGCCAGTCTTGGTCCTCCGACCGGACTCGGACGGCGCAAAGACCACCGCCCAGCGGCCGGCAAAGGCACGGCCCGCCGCGGGCTGGCTGCGGAGGATGTCAGCCTCTGAGAGCTCCAGAGTCTCCGAGGGCCTCGAGTACAGATCGGTCTGAAGCACCACGCAAGCGGCCATGCGCACCAGGCCGTGATTCAGCAGGTCCAGCGCGATGGCCCAGATCAGGATGAGCGGATAGGGTAGGCCGACAAGGCCGGGATCTGTCCGCTCCCAAGCTTTCAACTGCCTCCGAGCCCGCGGGAGCAGCTGACGTCCGTCTTGAAAAGGCTCCCCGCGCAGCAAGATCCAACCGAACAGGCCGTTGCGGCCCGTCCCAGGACCCATGCCGTCGAAGAACATCTGAGCAAACCAGTGCACCATATTTTCGTCAGCGTCTCTTGCATTGTTGGTCTGGCGACCAACCTCGACACACCAAGTCTCGAAGTCCTCCAGCGCCGCCGTGTACAGCCTCCGAGTGGACTCCGCCACGGACAGCTCCCTCATGACGTGCACCCGCGAGCGTCCACTGTCCTGAGCTCGGCGACGCCGGCTGGCGGCCTTGGCCTTAGCCGAGGCCCGGCGGCGGGGCGATTGGGAGGTCGAGAGCCTCCCCGCGCCTCCTGAGCCGGGCCCGCTCGGCAGCCCCCGTCCTGCCGAAGAGGACGCCGTGGTGCGCGAGGTAGTCGGTGGCTGCCCCGCAAGCCGCATCGCCGCTCGCTGCCTCGTCAGCACCGGGAACATCCCGCCCAGCACGGAGACGACGGCCAGGCCGAACCAGCGCCGCCAAGGCAGCGTGCCACTCGCCGGCCCAGGGGGCATCGCCCCCACGGGCGGCCAGAGGCGCAACCTCGCTCAAGAATGACGCCCACCTCGAGCATAAAGCCGACGGATACTGACCCGCCAGGGCCGTGAGATTGCACCAGACGTGACCCCCAGAGCCATCAGGGACCCGAACTTTACCCACCAGCTGTTCATGTCGACGATGGGTACAGGGAGCCGCCAGGCCCCTCAGCTCCGGGATGTTCGTGAGCACCAGAGTCCACTTCTGATGAGGGGCACCATACGCACACAAAGGAAATCGCACCCAAGACGCACCACGGAGACCAGCGAGGCGACCAATAGGAGGGAAGCTCCAGAGCCCAGAGGTCATGGGGTTCTCGATGCTCCAGCCCACTCCACAACGTTGACACTCACGAACGACTTCAGCGGTAAACAAAGCGAACTCAACCCCGAGGCGCTCTAGGATCTCAGCTCGACGAAGATTGCGGACTCCACGACGAGCGTTGCTCCAGGCTCTGCAAGGGGTCCCCGGGTGTACAGCCCAAACTCTTCCAGACCGAACCCAAGACAGGACGAGCAATTGTGTTTTTCTCCTCGAGGGGTCCAACTCGGCACCCTTCTTGATGTCAAACGGGGCCGCCGTCCGCAGCCCAGCATGTCGCGCGGCGGCGGTCAACCCCGCCGCACCCGCGAACAACTCCAGAAAGACGCGTGCATGAGAGGTGGAGGGAGGCGATGGTGTCTCTGCGTGCTCTCTGTGATCGGAAGGAGTGGACGAAGAGGATGAGCCCCCCTCCCCGACGCTCGCGGACGGCAACCAGGGAGCTACAGGCTGTCGCTCCCTCTTCTTCTGCAGCAGCCACTCGGGGTCGCGGGCCTGATCCCTCCTCGACCCCTCGTCGGCCACATTCAGGTCCGTCGGGGCGTGTCTGACCCGCCACCGAACGCGACAGCCCACGCTATAGGCGGCCGCCTTTCGGCACAACGAATTGAGGACGTGTGATCGAGCCCTGCCTTTGTCAAAGCAGCAGCAGCAAACAAGATTGTCGCAGAGGCTGAGAGCACGGTGGCCGTGGTGGGCGCGTGTCCGGCAAAAACGCCTCAGGCCGGCCACGCAGATCCGGCCCTCCTTCACGTTGATGTGCTCGTCATACTTCCAGCGACCCTCGACGGCAGTAGTCCACCCGAGGTCGCTGGTGAGGGCGGTCGGCAAGGCGGGCGCGACGTTCAGCAGCTCCACCTCCTGGGTCGGACCGGGGCGACTAGCCCAACGCCGCGGCGCACCGCGGCCGACAGCAGCACGGCGAAACAGGAGCTTTCCCAGCTCGGTCTCGCGCCAGGCCCCTGCCGGCTGACCGCCTCGGACACGGGCGTCTGCGTGCTTGTGGGCTCCCTCGTCCAGCGTGGCCCCGAAGCCGTCGGTGACACCTCGGAGCTGGTTGAGGTACGCCGCCGTGTAGGTGTCCGAGTTCCCGTCGGCCTCCACCTCCACGAACCGCCAGCGCTCCCGCCAGCGATGCGCATCCCAGACAGCACGAAGCGGCTTCCGCCCGTACATCAGGCAGAAGCCGGAGGACGACGAATCCGAAACGTGGACCTCGTCGGCGAGAGGCGCGCTCAGGTCGACCTCGGTCAAAAAGCAGGCGATGGCGGCCATGCGGAGCTCCCCGCGGACCGCCGCAGGAAACGCCGCCCGCCGCCGGCTGCCGTCGCCGATGAAGTGGTTGACGTCCTGCAAGATGGACAGCAAGCAGGGCTGCAGCCCCAAGAGGGCCACGGCATGCCCCGCCCAGACGCGGAGCTCGGCCCCCGTCGCGTGGCCCCGCTTCAGCAAGGCCTTCGTGGCGAAGTAGAAGCGCCATACCCGCTTGGGCCTCTGGCGCACGCGGCGGTCGGCCCCGCGCAGCACCAGGCCCAAGCTTTCCAGCTCCTCCACCGCCGCGTCCGCGGCGCGCAGAGCCAGCCTCGCCTCGGCAGCCCGCTCCTCGAAGGCCCGCGCCCCGAACTCGGCGTCGGCGGCCGAGCCCCCCGCGCCCGTGAAGTTGTCCACGTACACGGCGGCCAACGGCCTCCCAGGGCGCAGGGGGGGTGCAGGTCGCTTGTCTCGAAGGAGCTGCCGATCTCCATCTGCAGCAGAGCGCCGAACCTGTTGCGCGACGGCCTCCTGGGCAAAGTACAGCGCCCAGGCCCAGCCCATCGGTAAAACACGGAGGCAGGGGAACAGGAGCTCGCCCGCCCGGGCGGGGGCCCAGCCCCCCACGCCGTCGTCCCGCACGCGCGTGATGCCCATGTCCCAGTCTTCGATGGTCAGTGCGGAGTCGAACCCGAACCAGCTGCCCATCTCTTCGTCGGCGAGCTGGTAAAAACAATCCTTGACGTCGGCGCCCGAGAAGCGTGGCTCACAGACGCCGCCGAAGCCCCCCAGAGCCGTAGCGCGGCCGCTGAGGTCGATCTCCGAGAGACAAGCTGCACCTCCCAAGACCGTCCGAGGAGGGAGACGATGGCACATGTTCGTCGCCCTCGCGTCGCAAATGAACCTGAGGTTGCCGTCCTTCTCGTGCACGAAGAACGCGCCGCAGCGGGACTTGATGGCCCGCCTGAAGCCCACGACGCCGATCTTAGCAAGTCGACGAAAAAAGTCACGCCGAAGCTCAGCATCACCGCGAAGCCGAGGATCCCAGTACGGCTCGGGCATCCCCCCAGCCTCTCGGACACGCTCGGCGATCTCGGGTTCTGAGAGCTCGATCTGGCTCTGGAAGTGTTTCAAAAAGCCTGCAGCCTCGGCAGGTAGCAAATCCGTCACGGGAACCGGGTTGATGTCCCCCTTGCACACCCTGAGGCGTGTGACGTCGTAGCTCGCCAAATGCTGCGGCTCCAGTTCATACTGGTCAGTGGATCTGAGGATCTCCCGGGGGGGCCTCTCGCCGTCCACCGCTTCGCTCGAGGGGTTCCCATAGAAGTCGATCCGCTCCTGGACTGACTCCAGCGCGCTGCGCTGCACTGCTGTGGGAGGCCCCCCGCGCGGCCTAACTCGTCGAGCTTTGTCGCATCCTGAATTCACACGTGAGGCGGCGAGGTAGTTGAGCATGTCAACCGCTTCTGAAACTCGTCGTTGCCTCTCAGTCCTGACTCTCCACCGGCGCACAGTGGGGCGAGGGGCGCCAGACGGCCTTGCGTCAATGGCCACCTGGGGCAAGGGAAAAGGGTCGTTGTGAAGCCACTGTCCGCGAGGCCACCACTCAGACTTGGTCTGGCCTCTAGCTCCACGTCGAGGGCGCCCGCCGTCATCAGGCGCGGCAGAGCCCTGCTGGTGAGCGCCGGGGATCTCGGTCATTCCCCGCCCCCCGAGCCATCGCCCGGGGGGCCACCCTTCTTCTTCTTGCCCTTGCCCTTCTCCTTGTCCTTCCGGTTGCGCTCCCCCCGTCGTCCGAAGGGCGCTCCCGATCCAGCTCCTCCTCGTGCAACCTCATCTGCTTCAAAATGTTGGCGCGGTCCTTCTGGCGGGCCACCGCGAACTCCGCGTACCTCGGGACGGCGGCAGAGCCCGTCGCACCTGCGGGCCCGCCAACGGCATCCTCAAGACCAGAGAAGTCTGGATGCCGTGGGTTACGCTGTACTGCCATCTCGATTTGAATGACCCGCCTAACCAGCGCCTCCATGCAGCGGAGGTTCTTCACGTTGAGCTGGTCCAT